ACACCCTGTCAATCTCCCCGCTCATCCTCTCGGATGCTACGCAGCCTACTAACCTCCTCCTGTAACTCCTCTATCTGGTGACTCAACTGGTCAACCACAGCACACCTCACACAGGAGAGCTGACTGTCAGCCCAGGCCCCACGGAGAGCCCCCAGGCACTCCCTGCAGCCTGACACCTGCAGAGCTGCATCTGCTGTCTGAGGGTCTGTCTGGGTTGAGGCCTCAGATACAGCTGATGCAGCACCTCCAGCAGCCTCTGGGGAACGTGCTCTGCGGCGTGTCATGACCATGCCCCGGGGAAGGACACACCACTGTGCAAAATGTGCAAAATGGAGAGGTGCCTTCTTTGCCTTCTGGCGCCCTTCTGCGTGAGTTTGCCTTGTTGTGTGTGTCTACACTATATTGTTTAATCTGCGCTTAACCCAACAAGCGTACTGACCTGCAGCTATTAAATCCACAGTCAGATACTGATCTCATCTGGGATGCATCAGGTTCCAGATGCGCTGAGAGGAAAAATCCCATCTGCAACTCATCACTTCTCAGCTGGGACCGAGTGCTCAAGTGGATTAATAGTTACCCTCTGAATCTGTTTACGCTGTTTGACTCTGGCCACACACTGAAAACTACTACCTGCAGCAAGTCTGGCAGTCCAGCAGCTGAGCCCAGTTCTTCACTGAGCTGGCAAATACAGGAGCACTCATAAAAGCTGAAAGTCCTCTTAGTGGAGAGGTAGAGGGCACTAAGTCAGCCACATTCCAGCTGAAACTAGAGTCTGGCTGTGCACTCTCTTCTTCTGCTGTGCTCTATTTAACCAAGGCTTTAAGCTAATTTGCGTGATTTATGGCACTGGAGGAGCAGAGCACTGTGTCAGAGAAGGGGCCCAGCAGCTGGCACAGTCTCAGTGGTCATGTGGAAATGAACAGCATGAGTTCCTCCTAAGAGTGGAAACTGCAGACGAGCTAAGCAGAGGAGAAGCAAAGATACAGTTAAAGTCTGTTGTCAGCAAACAACACTGATTTACAGCTAAGACTAGAGCAACAGCAATAATTCTCACCCTCTGCTGAATTTTCCAGAGGTGGACAGCAACTTCAGCCGTACCCTCCAGAGCCCAAGTGCCTGAGTGTTGCTTCTTCCTCCGTTTTGGGAGGTAAAAGAGAGGAAGAAACAGAGCAGAGGCAAAGCTCTTCGCTCAGCTGGGTTGCAATGCTGTCTTCTTCCAGCTAAGATCTGAGATCACCTGCATGGCCACGAAATCAAGGAGCAAAGGTTGAGCAGTGAATGGTGGGCTTCTACATCTTAGTTGATGTCGGCTTATAGGCAGTGCTGTTTGCTGCTGCTCCTGAAACGTAGGAGCAAAAGAGGAAAATTCTTGCAGTCATGTTCCTGTTGCAGTCATGAAGTAGCAGTGAAGAGCTGAAAGACAGTTAGGAGCAGCTTCTCTTTAACTGTTCCCAACATTTCAGTTTGTGCTGTCAAACGCGGTTCATCATAGCAGGCTGATTCTCCCTCTGAAGCCACAAGCCTGGCTGGCAATCAGTATACCCAGACTTAGATGTGGTGTGGTAAAAGCTCAGTGGTCTACGCAGCATTTCTTGCTGGGAAGACTACAACGTGGTTACTGAAATATTTTATACAAGGCAGAATAATTCTAATAGGGAGGGTCTGAATTTTGTTTATTCCTCAGTCGTATCGTGACGTCAAGGAGATTCTGTCACAAACTACCTCAGGCTGAGCATGGTCTGTACGTGTATCTTAGCTGAATACTGTGATCTCTGCGAGTGAAAGGGGAAATAAAGATTTATGGAGCTTTAGCCCCTCTATGGAGTTAGTCTTTCATTTCTTTGTCTTTTCTGAAATACGCTCAGAAATGAAATATCTCATTTGAGGTCAAATAGAAGATTTTGTCTTACAGAAGAAGAGTTGTTTGCTTTTGACATACAAAAAGAAAGTGTTTATATTTTGTTCTAATGCAAGCGTATACTTGTTTCCAGTTTTTTAGTTTGACAGACTCATTTTCTCGTAACTTGAGGGTGTACTAAGAAAGGATCAGAAATTATAGGGAGGAAAAGGGTAATTTATGTAAGGGTAATAAGGGTAATAAGTAGACTGAATTTGACCCGTAGAAATGTATTCTGTGCCTGCTTGTGTCTTGGAGTTTATCAACAAGATACTTTAGCCACTTTTTGCATAAATATATGTTCCTTAATTTTGCGATGTCTGACTTAAGAGCCTAGGATTTATAGGAGTGGTTGGCATTCAGATCTACAGCTGAAGTCAGTAGGAGTTTCACTTTGATAGTGTTTTATTATAGTGTTATATAACAATTTTATATAATAGAATACCACATCTTTAAAGCAAAACAAAAAAGAATCTGAGAAAGAGCATAGACAACTTCAATTGGACACCTCAAATCAGTGATTTAAAAAGAAAATCCCTGTCTCTATCTCAATTCTTCAGTACAGAATATGGATAATAATGCCCTTTTATCCCTCTTTTTTTTATGAAAACCATAAATATTTGTGAAGCACTTACGTGCTCTGGTGATAGGAGTTTTACAAAAGCTTGTCAGGAAATTATTAATTATGCCTCCAGAGCAGAGTTTGAACGGTATTCAGTAGATTAGGCATATGTCAAGCAGCAAGGAGAAAACAAAGTAGTCATTTAGTCAGCACTGCCCAGCCAGTGCCCTGAATGAGGTAAGGATCCTTTGATCATGTAATTAAAGATTTAGAAAAATGGGTAGACAAAAGCAGGCTTAATTAAAGTTGCACAGACCTCCTGGTATTTCTTAACTGCCCAAGGTGACTTGAGCCTACATCCCTTTCAAGAGCTCTTCCGTCAGCCGAGGAGAGAAAAAACATTCTCATCTGGGCTGCTCACAGCCCTTAGAAATGAGAAATGTGGGTGAATCATCGATGGGAAAAATGTGGATTAACATCCCAGGACTCTGGCAATAAAATTATCTGGCAACCACTGGTCTCCCTGTGTAACGGAACTGTCCCCTGAAAAGCAGCCAGCGGCAATATTCTCTTATGGTGTTCACTCTCAGTGGAATAGATATGGGGAAAGAACATTACTGTTATTGAAATGTCAGTAAAAATAGCAAATTTAACAGTGACAAGAAAAGAGGAATCTGACTTGAAGGTAATGCTATGAATGTTAAGGGTAACCAAATCAAGGATATATTTGTGATCTGTTTCCTCATGAGGATTCCAGTATTTGATGTTTTCATTAGACAGTTCAACTTGGATGGCTATATACCATGCCAAAAAAAAAAAAAAAAGTCATTCACATAGTTATGATTCTAGAATGATTTTGGTGTTTTTAACAGATAGTTGCTTGAGTATCCACTGCATGTTAATGAAGTCATTATAACTGTGATATGATGATTTTTCTTCTCACTGCGTAACAGGTATTTTCTAACTCAAAGCAAGATGGAAATGAGTGAAAAAGAAGTACAGGCATCAGACTTGCTTTTCTTTGCCTAACATTCTCTTTTTTGTAAGCAAATGTGAACTACTTGAATTGTATTGAATTATTTAGATATTCACCCATCTCACATATTGAACTCTTAGACATCTTTCTAGTCACATTTGTTTACATGAATTGAGTTAGGTTTTAAAAAATACATTAATGCTTTAATGGAATTAGTTATGTGGTGTTTCCAGAAAGTATATAATAATGATAAACGCTCTCTATAATCGACATTGGTCAAGCAGGGCTCACAGGATAAAGAGCTACACACGAGAGGAAATCCAGTAGATGCTTCCCTGAATATTTGAAAGAATAATTTTGCCTCATCTAAATGTGTTTCTCTCTCCTCTCTTTCAGGCTGTTTCCAGCTATGTAATGTTTTTCGATCACATGACATGGAAATTGACCAGTGTTTGCTGGAGTCCCTCCCTCTCGGCCAGCGGCAGCGGCTGGTGAAGCGCATGCGCTGTGATCAAATAAAGGCGTACTATGAACGAGAGAAGGCTTTGCAGAAACGGGAAGGTTATGCCCAAAAACTGAAACATGGAAAGAATCACCGAGTCCGTTTCAATCTTGCTGATATGATACAGGATGCGATCGTACATCATGATGATAAAGAAGGTACTCAGTAACGTGGACTTTTTTTTTTTTCCTAATTCTGTAGGTAAAAGTTTTGGAGGAAAAGCTTCCATGTTCTCCTTACCTGTTTTCAGGAAACATAAGATTTTTTTTGGATAGTAATCATAAAGTGATCAATGCAACAGAATATATTGCATGCAATATAGTATAGCTTATCACTTAAGACCTAGAAAGCACACAGTCAGAAACCTAACAAAATCACTCTGAGGTTAATATATGTATAAATTAATATATTTCAAGACCAGTAAGGACTATTATCATGATTCTGTGTGACCTCTTCTATATCATCAGTGACAGAATTTCACACAAGTTACTTTGAAAACTAGTTTCCCATTTTTAAGCAAAAATCTGGAATAAAGAACAATGATATTAATGACATTGGCCTGCCTAGAGGAATGAGATGATGTTGATCCACGGTGAGTCAGGTCTCCACTTGATATACTTTTGAAATACATTGCCACTTTTTGGGGATTCTCATTTTAGTTGTTCTCTGTACTTAACTAGCATTGTTTTAATCCCTGGTACGGTTGATAGTTATCTGCAGAATTTTGTAATTTACTCCTTAAAAGGGAACTCAACCTCATAGTAAAGCTCTCTCAAGTTTTAGAAATCTCCAGGAATCTCCATATTGTTGTTCGGGAGGCGTATAATAAAACAATTGTAATGCTTTTAGCAGTCCCTTGCAAACAGACTTTAAGGCAGCATTAGGTAGTCATATTAGCACAAAACTACCTTAATAGGAGAGGCTCTGAACTAGAGTCACACCATGCAACCTGGTTTCCAGCTTTGGCCTAATTTTTGCCTTTTTGGCTACATGTAGTTTTTTACTCACTCCTGAGCCTTGATTTTAGTGGGCATTTGCTCAAACTGTCGGTATTAATCATTGCTTCAGGTGTAGTCATACATGTTTAGATCTATACAGGAAATGGATCAAAAGACTCTTCTGTTAAAGTTAGTGTCTCGGGCAACATTTACAACTGAAATTACAAATAAAATTCACAACTTTTCATTCTACTCTACTAATCTGTAAAAAAATAGGAATTATAGCTAAAGATCTTCTTTCGCAGTGTTCCCATAGCTCCCAACTTTCTCTAAAAGCCAAGAAGAATACTAGATAGGATTTTTAGGATTCTGTAAAAATCAGATACTCCAGGCTACTTTTAACATTTATTCTGAAGAAATGTCGATCATTTATTGGAGTGGTGATGGGGATCAGCAGTCTTTTGTGTTGCCCCTATTTGGCCTTGAGCTGCATTTGACTTAGAACAGAAAATTCAGCAACTGCTGAAACTGAATAGCATGAGCATGAAGGAGAAAATACCTAAGACAGAAGAAAGTAAGAGAGGGGAAAAACAGGGATGGCATCCTGCACTTGAAATGGATATTATTGAAATGGATATTGAATATCCATTCAATATCCAAGGGATGGCCGAGCTCAGAGGGTTGTGGTGAATGGCGCAGAGTCAAGTTGGAGGCCTGTGGCTAGTGGTGTCCCCCAGGGGTCAGTCCTGGGTCCATTCCATCTGAACCTGAGAAAAAACTTCTTCACTGTGAGGGTGACAGAGCATTGGAACAGGTTGCCCAGAGAGGTAGTGGAGTCTCCTTCGCTGGAGATATTCCAAACCCGTCTGGATGGGATCCTGTGCAATATGCTCTAGAGGATCCTGCTTGAACAGGGAGGTTGGAGTAGATGATCTCCAGAGGTCCCATCCAACCTAAACGATTCTGTGATTCTGTGAAAACCTAGGCATTTCTTAAAATAAAGTCCAATGCAAAGAAGTAGCAGAGAAGTAGCTTAACATTAATTAATAATAATAATAATTTCCTGAAGAGAATAAAGCCCCTTCTTATATAGGAGGATATGTTGTGAAAAGTCAGGATTGAAACTGATCTGAATGTTTTACGTTTTGGAATAAATCCCGAAAGTAATCAAGATAAGAAATCATCACTTCTTCAAAAATTCAGTTGTATTTATAAAACACAAAAAACCCCCACAGAATTCAGTTGTGTTTACATATTTATAATGGACAACAGGATATTTTAATATATTTGAATGTATCTTTAATTTTTCAGAGGTAATTTAGTTTTCACACTAGCCATTTTGTCTATAATGAGATAATTAACAAGTATAAAGGTGTGTTGCAGTATATTCAATAGCCAATTAAATAGTTTCAGTCAGCTAAATTTTATCAGGTGACACCTTTCCTTATGGATAATTAATTTTGTGAGCTTGTAGTGCAAAGGCTTTGAAGAGATGAATTTCACTCAAGGTATAATATAACTCATTTGCCTGCGAATAAGCCTGATCCTGCCATGTAGAGGGTATGATCAGACTGTGGTGTCTAAGAAGCAGACTGTGGAACCTAGGTGCTATAATTTAAATAACAGCACGCACATGCAGAGTCAATTTTCTGAAGAGAATGTAATGTTTTTTCATAATGCTTTTGCTATCTTTTGGTTCAAAGCACTTAGAAGTCCTCAAGCTTCTCAGCCTTTTGGCTGAGATCATGTACAGTGTCTGTCTGAACCAGAGTTTGGCTTTTACTCGGTCCACTCACTATCACGTTTTATTTCCCTTTCCTCTCCTGAAGCAGGATCACTCATGCTGCTAATGCTTAGGCATCTTTTTTTCTGCCCCCCACACTCCCTCCCTGTTTTACCCTTCGAAGAGGGTATACAAGAACAGATTGATGCAATAGCAGGTTTAACAGAATAGCGGAATAACAGTCAGAACTATTTTCTTCATTTTTGAGACCTATTTAGGAACTGTCTTCAAATCTTGAGATCTTAAAAGTTCTACCACAACCATCTGCTTCCTCCATTCTTTAAATTGAAGCAGTTCCCAAATCTGTTTAACAGTCCTGTCTGTGACACTGTTAAGCAAACTCTTGTTTGTTGATGAATCCTGGAATAGTTTTGCTTGGCTTGAGGATCTAGTTAAAAAAAGAGCATGTTAGTTACATAATTAGCAATTAAGTAGAAAATGTGAATACATTGGATGGACCTTGTGGAATTGCAACAAAACGAGTAGACCGTATTTGAATGAGTTTGAACTCAGCTGGTAGTAGTTCAGTAAGATGGAACACCCATTCTGTAGGCATAAAAAAAAACCTGGCTAAAAATGGCTGTTTTACAGTTGTATGAAGAGAATATCATTTAATATAAAAAGTGGAAAGAGGAACAGAGTAGGCTAGAAGTAGCCCCCCAAGTGAAGTTTAGGGGCTCATTTCTTTGGAATATCAGAAACTATATAGAGTAGACAGCACATATGGAAATGGTGAGAAATAGTCTGGTTAGGTAGATGAGGTGAGTTGGATAACATGAATATGTATCTAAAGATGAAATTGTAATATGACTAGTGTGGAGACACGTTTCACACTTGAATGTGATTGGAATTTTGCTCTTAATTCGGTGCCTTTGTTATTTATGCAAAATATATCTGCTCCAAAATTACTATAGTACTTGCTAGTGGGCACAAAATACATTTTCTGGTAATTTATGCTAATAGATGGAATCATTAGTTTGGATTAAAATGAAATTTAAAACGGACTTTTAGAAATTGTAGCACTGACATGCTTTGCCACCAGTTTAGTAATGGAGACTCATTATATTCACCGTACAGCTAAAAGTTAGCAAAATGTTGTAGTTTTGCTCTATTTGGGGGCATTTTAAATAATTAGTTCTATTTTTTTCTATTATTATTCATAACTGAAATGTGGTCTTTCATCTGACCCAGGAAGACTGAAAAGAATTCCTCTGTCTCCCTCAGCTCTGTGTCTGATCTCTGTGGGCAAAGTCACCCACACCTCCTAGCCACTGATCATTTTGAGAGATTCTACAACTATTGTTCTCAGTGGTGATATGTATAGGAGCAGAAGCTAGTGAATAAGTGAGCATAATGTGTTGTCTGATACAGGTTTTTTACGTCTCTACTGCTGGCAAGAGAACAGCTGTGGTTCAGTTGCCTTAAAATCCTCTTCAGCACTGTTATTTGAGATGTCAAATCCATATCAATAATGGACAGCAGGACATTTGTCCTGCTGACATCAGCCATATAATGTTACTGCAAGGTAGAAGCCAAAGAAGCTTCTGCATCCCGTTCCATCCCACTGCAGAGTAGGTGTGCTTGCACCTACATTTATGGTAAGCGTGAGCTCAGATTTTCTTCTCTGACATGTATGAGCAATTAGGAAATGAACTGAGCAATTACGAAATAAACTGAATCTGAGCTTACATTTCTGCTTAACATACAAGATAATCATGCCCAAAAGGTCTGGGTAGCTTGGCCTGTTGAGAATAAGGGATATCCGTCCTTCCCAAAGGAAACCTAGAGCTATTGCTACTGACAACAATGGAAAATGCTGGCAGCTTTGAAAGAGGTGATTTTTTGAGCATCTCTAGACGTTGTGAACTGACAGATAAATGTGACAGTCCTGTACCCTAAATCTGACAGAGAAGGGAAACCCAAGGATTGAATTTATTTTCAGTCATCTTTTGGAATATTCTGTAACACAGCCTCTTAGAAATCCTGCAGCATAGCCAAAATCATAAGGCTGTCAGAAATGCTGTGTATGTAATATCTTTTGTTATGAAAACACTAAGTTGCAGTGCAGTCATAAAGTATAGCAAAAGGTCTGCCATGCTTATAGGACGTGGAAGGTCAGGATAGGAAGCTCAGAGAGCCAGCAACTCAGTCTTGAGACAAGAGAGGTACTCCTGTGAAAATCAGCATGTCAGAAGGGGAATGCAGAGTCCCTAAACCTAATTAAAGTTCATTTCATCCTTTTCATAGGCCATATGCTGATTCTGTGTTAGCGTTGTGACTCCAAATGCGTCCCATACCAAAATGATTGGGTGTTAATGCTAATGCTGCATCGCATCTGTAATAAAAAGTCTTGGTCCTTTCCTTTGAGGCCGAGTCTGGCTCTGCTTGCTTTAGTCAGCCCTCCTCATCTCTGCTGCCACCCTGCCTGGGCATCTTC